CCAAGCACAGATCGCCACAAAGAAAGAGGACTCCATAATGAACACCTGAATTTAAAAGACTGCAAGCCCAAATGCATGCATTACCAAAGGATGCATGGGGTAGATGATCCAGAAGGGAGTGGGGGACTTCAAATGCTAATGTCTAAGAGGTGGAGCTGAGTGAGCACAGAAATTAGACTGCTAAATCTGGTGATGAATTGCCAGGCTGGCACAGTCAGCTGCAATGATGTGGAAGCAGGTGGAAGGTGAAGTGGATGGAAAACGAAGACCACTTTCAAAAGTGAGGAGTCTGAGTGTGGTTTTCAGGGGAAAGCAGAGCTGTTGCATGGCTGCTTTGATCCTGACTGTAGACACCTAGAAGGAAGCGGTGGAGAGGAAAGTTGGAAGGCAAGGGACAGAGACTGTAATTGATGGCCCAAGGTCCAGAGGACATGCCAGGACAGTGATGGAGAACACAGATGAGAGTAGAAGGCAAGGACAGGTGAGAATACAAGCGTGGGAAGACAGACATGAGAAGTTTGAACAAGGCCCCAGATCTGAGAGTCTCCAGTATCTTCTCCTGAAACAGAGATGAGGTGAGGTGGCAGGGGTTGAGGGAAGAGCCAAAGAAGTCAAAGGTCTTGTACACAAGCTCCAGGGATCACTCCAGAGACAGCCCTTATTGTGAATTGTGCCCATGACCTTCCTACTACTTTGCCAGAGCTTCCTCACTCCCAATGTCTGAAGATCATCACTGTCCACGTTTCACCTCATCCTGACTCCTTGAGTTCCCCAAAGCCAATCCCCAGTATCTGGAATGTTTGTACTTCTATCAGTAGTACACAATTTATGTCCATCCCATATGGCCAGGATGCCTGCAAAGCATCAATGTAGGTACAGACAGAAACTCCAAGCAAAGCCAGAAGGAAGCCATAGCCCGATGACCAGGGGCATTAGTCCATGTTCCACCTCCAGAGAAGGTGGGAGCCTTTACTGAACCCCCTCACTTCCTCAGATCCAGCAGCCGAGAGGACACCAATGCAGGCTTCTACTCGAAGTCCTCCTGAAGCACCATCCCAAAGTTACTGAACGAGTCCCCTCTCACTCTACTGCTTCATGTCCGAGGCACCTGTCAGCCCTTAGCAGCAGAGGGGCGGAGCTGGAGGCCTGACTGGACTTAGGGCCCCTCGTTTCTTTCCAGATTTTGTTGTTTCCTTATTATACTAGCTCCCAGTTCCTGGCATCTACTCTAGAAAAGTGCTTTGGACACAGCACCTCCACACCCACTTTACAGATAAGGAATTAGGACGGAGAGGGTAAGGAATGTCCCATACTACAGAGCTAAACTTTGTACCTATAACCCCACCCATCTTCCCCACATGGCTGCTCTGCCTGACCATGCTCCAGGAACCAAGGGCAGCTGGAAGAGAAGAGTCAGATAAGGGAGGAAGCCCTAGATCGCTTTCTTGGAATTCTAGCAACCCCATCTAAGGGGTCCTTCTCAGCATTCATCTGGGTCAGAAGTCATAAGCTTCCAGAATCACAGACTCTAGGATGTTGATGATCCAATCAGTGCCTAAGAATAATCATCAGTGTCCTCCCTCTCCCATCACTCATATGGGCTCCAAAGAACTCATACCTCCCTCATCACCCATCCTGTTCCTGGGTGACCAATTGCTCAAACATATTCCCCTGCTTTGAGCTCAGAGCTTTCCGTGATCACTTTAGCCACTGGACTCTGTAGCATGAACTCAAACTTGAAATCCTGCTCTCCTATGAAATATCCACATCACACCATTGTCCAGAGTGATGGGTCCCTAACACCCTGCTTGATCCACTGCTGTAATCAGAGACTGCCTTTCTGTCACTTAAGAATATTTCCATGCTCTGCACAGGTTCTTGCCTCCTCACTACCTTCCTGAGTTCTCTGCTGTCCCCTCTGTCCTCCCCTTCCCTGTCTCTCCCAAGCCTGATCAAAGCAGAGTTCCCTGGGCTATCCATGGATATCTCTAGAAAATGTCCTGCTCTTTTTCTCCTCGGTGCATTAGTGACCGCAGAGTTGGGTTTGCATGTCTGGGGCTTCACCACTTTCTCACCCAAGTCCTATTTTAGAGTCTGGCCCCTGGTTCTTGGCAACCTTTTCTTTGAACTTTGAATAATCTAAGGAATTTGGCCTGGACAAACTTCTCCTTGCCCCCATGGGGCTCCACAAATGGACTTAATAATGGCACAGAAGATGTGAATTTGCAGAGTCCACTCTGTCACTTCTTCCAAGAGGGTGTGCTCCAGAGTGCCTCCACATTTTGCTTCTGCAAAGGACCCTGTTCTTCCACCAGCAGCTCAACAGCCCCATCTTCCAGCTCTCTTATGGATGGCCCCAGTGAAGCAAGACACCCTCGGGGTTGAAAAGCACCCCGAACCTTCAGGCTCTGTAATTCTCATCTGCCTTCTGTGAGCCAAGTGCACAGGGAAAAGCTGCTTAGGAAAAGTGGTGGAGCAAGGTTGGTTCAGACATCATCCTCTCTGCCTAGCAAAATGCTTTTCTGTTGTAACTGGAAACCTGCATCAGCTGGCTTGACAATAAGTAGCAGGCAAGTCCAACAGCTCAAAGTCAGCCAGGATTGCTTGTCATCTCTAGAACCAGATCCCGTAAGCTGGCTTTGTCCCTTGCCTGTCTCTCCCCATCATGAGAAAGCTCCCCATCATGAGAAAGGACAGAGGGCAGCCTGTCCTTGAGCTCTTCTGAGAAGTGAGGCACGCTTTCCCTGAAGTCCATCAGTTTATGCCACATCTGGCCTATCCAACTAGAACTGGGTCATGTGCTCATTCCTAACACAGTGTCTGGGAAGGGAAGGCCATGGCCATGACCTCCACTGACTGAGGCCCAGGAGTTTTCTGAGATGCAAGTGGCAAGCACAAAACAAAATCAGCCACTGCTGGCCAAGGAGAAGCAAGTGACTGGCCTGCTAAGAGAAAAAGCAATACTATGGAAGGTGTGGAGCACTTAGTTCAATTCACTGTGTGTGCCACAGAGCCCCCCAAAACCTGAATTTGGGGGAGGAGGTATAGGCTGTCAAGACATGAAACAGCTTGGGAAGGTTGTGCTGAAGTCACTGATGATTCTAATTAGAAGATTTTGGTCCTTGCACTCTAATGAGGAAGAATCCAAGCAGAACACATGGACGTAGTAAAGGAAATTACAGAGTTTTACTATAGGAAAGGAGGAAGGGGATTACAGATGGGATCTCTGCCAGGTGGAATGGAGGGGCTGCGTACAAGATAAAGAAAAGAGGGGAGGGGTTATTTTAGGTCGTTTATATATCATACTTAACTTGGAGGTGGGGAAAAGACCAGGGTCACTCCCTGTCTCCAATGGCCTTTGGGCCAGGGGTAGGATCAGGTGGACTCTTGCATACACCTATGTTAATTCTCAGGTATCCTAAGTCCATGTGGGAGGAAATTTCCATTCTAATTTAACAAAGGATTTGCAATTGAAATGGGGCTTTCTGGGCTCAGAGGGGACTGGTCAGGGAGTGGGGGAGAAGGGTGTTCTAAATCAGTCTAGCCCACCTCATTTGCAGTGACAGTCTGCTGGTAGACAAAGTCTGCTAATAAACACAGTCTGTTTGCCCGAGAAGTGAATATGTCAAATCATACTCATGGGGTGGGGATAGGGGTGTGGTACTGGGGATAGAACTCAGGGCCTCACACTAACTGATACATTTCTCGGCTTAGTCTTCATGATCACATGAGCAGAGAGGTTCTTAAACTCACTCAAGGGAGGGATTATAAAAATAGAGTAATCTTATGGAATGTCAAGTTAACTAATCAATTTAAAATAATTTTAATAGCAAAACTACCTGTTCATTCTATGACGTTTACCATCCTCAGCAAAGGAAGAAGCAAGACTGCATGTGAGGTTTCCATTGTTACTAGATTGGTTAGCTTTTCCTTATTGTTTGATTGTTTCTTAGTCTATCCACAGACACAAAGGAGGAGCAGATTTCAGAAAAACACCTGGCAGGAAAACTAAAACTCGCTATCATTCAACTCACTATATCAGCTACTAAATTATGATCCAGTGAAAGCCCAATTTCACTGTCACTGTCCAATTTCAGAGTCAGGGCTCATTGGCACAACTCTGGGGACAGTCACACACTCTGAGTACCTCTAGTCCTTTCATTTATTTTTGTCTAAGTTACTAAGGCTCACAGATTTCCCCAAGGTCACCCAGTTAATTATTGACATAGTGCCTTCCCTCTGAAACAATCACAATTTCCCACATCCCACATATTGGGGATGCAAGTGAGGGCATGAGGAGGTCCTTGAGTGTCACAGGCCTGAGCAGCAGTTTGGTCAGAGACCAAATCCACCAGACTAGAAAAGCTTTCTAATCCACCTATACACAAAAGAAAGAAGGTTGGGACTCATTTCAAAAGTTGTTTCTATTGGTGATTTAAAGACACATTCTCTCTCTCTCTCCCTCTCTCTCTCTCTCTCTCTCTCTCTCACTCTCTCCCTCCCTCTCTCTCCATACACACATGCACACACAATGGATCTACATGTGCATCCTCCCCTCCAGGCCTGGAGCAGGTGGGAGATCTAGGTGTAACTTTCTCCCACCTCATTGCCTGATAAGGCAGGGCTGGGCAGCACCTCCCTCCTCAGCTCCCTCCTCCCAGCCAGAAACAGTTAATTGCCAGCTCTAGGCTGCCTCCAGCCCAGCCCTAATCGGCCTGATCTCAGGCTGCTCTGCTGGGGCTGAAGCAGCTCCAAGCCAGGCTGGGGCTGTGGGAGCAGCAGCGACATTCTTCCAAGGTAATGATTAAGCTGTGCTCCTGGCAAGGGCACAGCAGAGCTGGGAAAGTGAGCCCCATTCACACCTTAGCCAGGCTGTGGTGGCCAAGACTGGTTTGGGAAGACAGGGCCTAGTGGCTCAGGGACCCTCAGCCAGCCACCACAGCCTCCTGCTTGTGTACCTGCATCCAGAGCCTCTCAGGGCCAGAGACCCTGTTGCCTGCCCTGCTGGGACTCTGCTCTCACCTCTGGCACCATGAAACTCCAGGTGTTCTGGACTGGGCTGGAATACACCTGCCGCCTCCTGGGCATCACCACTGCTGCAGGTAAGACCCCGCCCCCTGAATGCCATCTCTTGTTCAGGGGCATAGCAACCAAGGCTGCCAGAAGGAAGAGAGCCAACCAGGAGCTGATGGCCACATCTGGCCACTTCTGTCCTTCAGTTTCTTTCCCAAGGTCCCCAAAAACACTGCAGAAAAGCTGCAGGTGCAGAGTAAGCTTCAGGAAGGTACAGAGGAGTGAGCTGGTGCCTGGTGCCAAGGGAGCATGGTACTGATCTTTGGATTGCAACCACTCTCCATGTGACCTTGGGAACCCTCTGCATCCTCATGTGTGCAGTGAGCAGAGAGACGTGAGGTAGACGTGGGGATAGAAGGTGAAGCTGTAAAGGGCTGGGCAAAGGCGAGAATCAATACGTCATTGTATAGTTATGAAAATGGTCAACTAAGCTACATTTGTTTTACTCAACCACAATCCTGGCTCATGGAGAGAGTCTGCCAGAGAGCCGCATTTTCCTAGGGGGCCATACTGGGCAGAGAGATGGCAGGTTTCCTCAGGCCCACCCCAACCCCACTAACAGAGTGCACTGTGGAAATCCAGATCTGTCACTGTGACTTGACATAGGAGTTGCACGGGGAAGGGGGAGTGCTGTAAGCTTGGCTCCTCTCCCTCACTCCGTTGGCCACAGGGCTGCACAGCTGACTGGAATGACAGAACCAATTTCCCCAAGGCAGACAAGCAGGAGATACACACTGCCCAGCAAAGCCCTTCCCTGACTCTGGAAAGGGCTTACTCAGGGGTCTTGCCAAATGGGAATGTCCCCAAGCTCAGCTCCATGTGTATTTGACCTTGGAGAAGCTGTGCTTTCTGACCTGTACAATGGATCTGCTGTCCAGGTGTTTTTGAAGATCAAGGATGCAGGAACTGAGCACAGCTGAAAGTAGATCTGAGGATGAAGGCACTTGACAGAAGCCCCCATGAAACACACCAGAGTCAGTGGGTATCCACGTCATTTCTGGAGCTAAGCTCACAGTGAACCAGTCAGTGGGCTCTTAAAAGCACCTAGACCATGAGTTAGAGCAGGAAGAGCTATAGAGAGGTCAAATCCCATTCCTCCTGGTAAATTAAATGGAGCAGCTGAGCTCAGAGTGGAACCATGACCTTGCGGAAGTTTGTGCCACAGGTCAGAACTGCCAGCCTGGAGTCCTGCCCCCAAGACTTTCCAAAAGGTTAGGACTCTGGCCAAAGCTCTCCCTGCATCCTGGGATAGGAGAATTGATCTCCTGAAGACCTGTGCAGACAGTCTGGTGGAGGAGCCAACTCTGGCTTCCTTCAGAACTTCAATGTCTCCTCCTTCTCCTCCACATAGGGGAATGATTTGCCCCAACAGCCCATCCCAGGGAAGGCACAGTAGCCCTAAGCAGCTTTCCATGACAGGGCATCACAGAAGTTCTGTTCTACCACTGCCAATCCAAGTCCACCCTGTTCTGTCCACACCTTCAGCTACCAGGAATCCCGGTGATTGGAACCCATCCAGCCACACTACACACGGAGCTGTGGCCTGCCTCCTTCCCGGAAGCTGTTTTAAGGTGCTCAAATCTATCCTTCTAATGGATTAGCAGAAGACAGTTTAAAAGTCCAATTTATCTCAGCCAATGGAAGGGTTTGCAGCCCCCCACACATGCGTGTGCACACACACACCAGCCTGCTGTTTTTCTTAACCACAACTTTTATCTCTGTGCACAAGGCTTCTGTTAATGCTGAGGATGGACCTCCTACTTGGTTTTGATACAAGAGCCAGGCTAAAAATAGGCCAGAGTTGCCTTCTAATGGCCAGGCTTTCAAATAATCTCTCTCGGGCTTTCTAGAATGCTGGGAGGGAGTGGGAAGCTAGAGAGGGGCTCTGATGCTCTTGGGTAAATCTTGAGTTTCTTCCAGTGTCACCAAACTCCTGGCCTATTTCCAGTGTATAAGATTTGCAAATTCCTTATTCCCTTAAGCCTCTTTTTGTTGAAATCCTCTGTTGAAAATTCCAGGCCCCATTATAGGGACATTGCTGCTAAAGAGGAAATGAGATTTGAAACAGGCAGGCACTGTGCAGAAATCCAGGGGTTGAGGGAACAAAGTAACCCCTGACACCCCTGCAGGTATAGGGTGTGGGTTTCTCCAGAAGCCAGTAAGCCATGTGACCAAGGGCTTCTGGAATGTCACCTGCAGGGACCAGGCAGCTCCTAGGAAGCCACAGCCTCTGTCCAGTCCAGCAGCCTCCTCCCTGTACCCTGCAGATAGGACCCAGACCGTCAGAGGTACCAGGCCCCAGATACTTCCACCAGACAGAAAGGCACTGTGGCTATGCCCATGGCTAGCCCCACAGAGGGACTGAGTCCCCCTTGGGATGTCCAGTAGCCCCTCAGGTCATTGCTGCCCCACCCTGAGGTCCAGCCCTATACCATAAGTGGTTTTAGAGCACAGACAGACCAAGACAAACAGACCACAGACAGACTGTACCCAGCTGAGAGTTTTTAAAATTAAGAAATTCTGTCCCTTGAAACTGCCATATGGTGTCTAGGCCATCAGAGGCCCCCTCCCTTGCCATTGTCTTTCACGGGGCTCATTTGCATTATCTCCCTGGCCTGGGAAGTCATTGAGGTATGCGTGGCAGTGTGCATGTGTGCGAAACTATGTGTGTGACCTCTAAGTGCCTCTGTTGCGGGGCGGGGGGTATGGGGGACCAGGAGCTGCCCATGAAGCAGACACACTGAAGACTCCTCCATTGTACGTGTAGGAGTACCTGAGTATCCATCCTCCAAAGCAGGTTCTCACTGTGTTCATCTGAGACAGGGCAAAGACATCCCAGGTGTGCAACTTGTCCCCAGTAGAGACTCTGTCCTCAATGATCGATTGGCTTGATCAATCGATGGATCGACTGATTTTCTGAGACAGGGTCTCACTATGTGTCCCAGATTGGCCTTGAATTCATGATTCTGCTGCCTCCTCCTCCCTAGTGGGACAGGCATGCATCATCAAACCTGGCTTATGATTGGCTCTCAATATAGACTAGGCATCAGGAGAGGGGACCTGGGAAGTGGCTTTTAACTGAATGGGCCCAGGGGTCCAGGGCACCCCTCCTCTATCAGATATGACAAGGTTTGTACAGGAGGATTAATCCCCAAGCAGGCTAAGAAGGCAGGGCCGGCCTCCCTTTGAACTCCTGCAGCCCTCATCCCCAAGAATCTCCAATATCTCCCTCACCAGCCCTCAGTCTGCCAGACCAGGAAGAGAATGAGAAAAGCTCCCCTGTCAAGCTCAGGATGCCCTGAAGTGGAGGGAAGGAGGAGGACTCTCCTTCCAGCTGACTCCTTGCACACAGATAGGCACGGGCTTCCACAAAAGAGACCCGCATAGAAGACGTCTCAGGCAATCAGGCAGGCCCTCCTAATTTTCCTCAGAGCAAAAAGGCTCAAGCTGGAGGCTTCCCCTTGCCATACTCAGGAGCTCTGTTTCCTCTTCCAACTGTGTCTCTGGGTAGTGGTAACTGATAATTAACATTATTACTGGTCTTTACTTTGGGCCAAGCTCTGGGCTACATGTTTTAAGACCTTCTTTTTTGGGGGGGGCGGGGAGCGATACTGGGGTTTGAACTCAGAGTCTGTGCTACAAGTTTTAAATGCAGTATTTCATTTCACCCTCTTAAGCATTCGTGAAAGAATCATTACGCCCATCCTCATACCCATTGTATAGGCAGGGAAAGTAAGACCTTTGCTCAAGGTCTCATGCCAGGAGGGAAGGAAAGAGTCCAACTAATGAGAATCTACTCTTGAAGCCACTATTCCTCATTGAATCCTCTGCTGAATTTGGGGTAAAGGGCTTGCCTCTTTGCATTTTGATGACTGTAAGATTCAGGTTGCAAAACACAGAGGTTCCCAGAGAGGCCTAATCATAGCTACCTCACAGTCTGGCTTCGTGTCCCACCCTACCCTTGGTCTCAGGCCTAACAGTGCACGGGCTCCAGTGGGTGAGATCATGGTGAAGATAGACATGGTTACATTGCATTGCACAGCCAAGGTCTGCCAAACACTTTCTAACCCTGAAGATGCAGACACTGGGTCTGGCTACTCCTTCTCTATCTCTGAAGGGACGCCACACGTGATATAGCTGGTGCCACCATGACCATCTCCAGCCAAGCCCACTCCTAGACCCCATGTGGACGGGCAGATTTCTAGAAGGAACTATCCCAGTAGGTAGGGCCTCCCATCTATGGGCCCAAAGGTACATGACTGACAGCAAGCTGTACAGTCATTATCTTGCTGTAGCCCTACAAAGGCCTGGAGGGCTACAGTGAGAAATGTGAGGCTCAGAACGCTTAGGTGCTTGGCAGAGGTTTCACAGCCAATGGACAGAGCTCAGTCTTCCCAGGTACAGAGCCACAAAGTAAGGCTCCTAAGCATGAAGCACAACAGAGCCAACAAGGGACTGAGGTGAGGTCCACACAAAGCTGTCTGAGCAATCCTACTCACCAGGACAACGTCCACCTTCTCCCAAGTCAAGTGTCTGGGGCCAGCCTGGGATCACTGAGAGGTTTTGTTTTGTTCTAGGTTTTGACCCATTAACCTGCTTCTCAACAGAGGCAGCTCCATTCCTCACCACACAATGCTCAGATATACAAATAACTTACACAGTAGGACAAAGAAAGCACTTGAAATCCAGATGTTCTTATCTGTTAAAGGGTACGGCAAACGCATAATTTGACCTTATCTCTGCCCAAAGCCTCCAAGAAAACAAATGCTTCTGAAGCAACTATCCAGGGCCCTGTGCTAATTTCCACCCCTACTGCCACTTAAGACATTAAGCGCTCCAGCATGTAGGGATATCTGGCCCAGTGAGACTACACAGCAAGACTACAGACCTGCCAAGTGGATCCTGAGTGGTTTTCTTTTCTGATCTGATCATCTTGAGGAGTAAACATAATCTCCCTCTCTCTGTCCCTCCCTCCTCCTTGCCTTGAAAGGCAGTAGAGTTTGGTTCAAGTATTTCTTTCTTTACTTCT